GAAAGCACTCGAAGCACCACCTCCCACTGTCTGATGTTTATTTTTCGATTTATTTTTAGAACCGATAAAATATATGTGTCAAAATAAGAATTAAATATCGTGTGATTTTCATATAAATTTTAAATAGATTGATTTATGATATGTATATGATACTTTGGTGAAATGTAAAAGCTTGTGTTGATGGGTTTCAAATCCATTTCAGTTTATTCTTATAAGTTGACCAATTTCCATGTATCATATGAAGATCATATAAAAGTTACCTACATGCCAGCATTGGAAATGTATCAGATATATAAATTTACCTGATAGATTTTCAATCATATCGTTTTCATTGGATTTTCTTATAGCGCAAATTTATTAGAGTTCCACATAACAGGAATATGTCATATTGGTTCAGTGTAGTAATAACATTGCTGATCAGAAGTGGTTTAATTTACACCAAATTGGGTTCTTTAATGGTATTGAGGTTATTCGTAATCTGCATTCAAAGTGGAACCTTAACCCAAAATTTCAACAATTTTGGTACACTGAAACTATTTTAAATGAGTACGATTACATTTGAAAAAAGCACCTCATTAGCGTCCCTCGGTGTCACTTTATCAGTTATCAGTTTGTTAGTTTAGTGTCATACAGTGAAGTTCACTCTTTTTTTAGATGTGGAAATCACATAAGCTTTACGTGAAACGCACATAACGGGTGTTCAATAAAAAATGAGAATACTTTCAGCTAGAAAAATAAAAAATAAATTTCAATGTATTCTGTATTTGTTTAATGTTTGTTCTTCAAAAAACGTCAATGAATATTGAAGAAGGGACCCTGGTCAGCCGTACGACGCAACTTAGTCGCGATGCTCTCACAAGAGCGCTGGACAACACTGAAATCATTCTCATTTTTTTTATTGAACACACGTTAGGTTCAGTGTTATTTGAAAATCACGTACACGTCATTGATTATGTAGGTGTGTTAAACTCCCTGTGAAATTCAAGGGACATCACATACATTCTATATGAGTCACGTAAAACTGAGAGGAGAGGAAAAATTGAGAGCTTACGTGATATTTCACGTAGCTTAAACGGGTAGATTATTTTGAGTGTAATACCCAACTAACAATTTTCACAATGTAAACGCTTTACTCATTTCATTTATACAGCCTCAAGCTGTATTCAAACGTTATACGATATGAGGAAACCTTTACTCAACCTCTCTACAAGCAAATCTGGCGAACTTTGTCAGCTACTTATGGCTGTTGGGACGGTTGGGACAAGCTTTTATTGCATATCCATTAACGCTTCTATACAGCTGTTATCCTGCTGTTTAGTTGTGTGTGAACTTCAAAGGCGCTTATTCAACCTTTTCCCGGTTATCCAATAATCACTACACAGCTTTCTCTTTTAGCCGGGTTAAATACTGTTTACGCTTTTTTATGAAGGAATTTATTGAGTTTATTTTGCTGTGATCAAATTAATCGAAATTAGTTACAAATCATCACCAAATTACCCTGCACCGGAACCTGGAATCAAACTCGAGACGACCTCATTGGCAAACCTTGACACTACCAACTGTGCTACACCAACACTTTGAACTGATGTAAACAAATCAACATGCCCTTCTACAACAAAATCGCTGAGTAGAGGCTTTATAATAGTGCACATGAATCACTTTTCTCGACTAGTTACTTCAGCTTTGTAAAAGAGCAGAGTAAAAGCTGTAAAACTGCACACGTCTAAAAATAAACCTTGTTGACTGTGAAAATGCTTCCGAAGTTGCTCTAACACAGTTTATTAGCTGAGTACAGGATGTTTAGTTGTTGAAAAAGCACTTTTGATGTTTATGTTATTCAGCAAGAGTGGTTGGTTGTGTAGAAGCCATCAAATGAGTAATATATTCACTTTATTAGCTTTGTTTTGCAGTAACAAGTTGAAAGTTGATTAGTATGTGTATAAAAGAGACATTAGCGTTTTTTGGCTGTTGTTATTCAGTGCGACTGACAAACTGAATAATGGTTGTGAAAAAGTTGTGTGAATGCTCTCCAAAACTATTTTGCTAGCTTTTGCTTTTAGCTGTATCTGCAGCTTCTTTTCAGCTACTTTACAGCACAACGCTGGAAAAGTTGGCTTACAAAGCTGAAAATGTTAGTTGGGTATATGCATCAACCCTTATATAAATCATTCCAGATCACCTGACTGACTGGTTCCCGTATAGAGCACGTCAGTGAAGCAACCAGTTCACTGAGTTTGTTTCCTTGTCCCTTGTTTCAAAACAAAATTTACTACTTTAATTTCAATATTGTCATGCTTTCCATTTAACAGTAGCACAATTCGTTTTAAAAGTTTAAAATTTTAAAAGTAGAGTGTGTGCTTCTTTTGATTTGACAGTTGGTTGAAATTTCAACAGCCGAGTGATTCTGCAATTTATTTTGCTGAGATTCAGTAAAACAATTACCGAGACTCAGCTAACAAATAGCATTTTGCTGTGATATCACGAAAAGTAAATGCCGAGGTAATCGGCTATTGGAGATTTTACCGAGCTAGATTAAGTGTATGAACCAAGGGGTAAGTCACTCAGCACATTGTGCAAAAAATTACATTCGGCACAGCTTGGCCACATCTTCGGCAAACCTTCGGCACAATCTCATAGGCATTGGATTGTGGTGAATAAAATGAGAGCTGTCCAGCAGTGCTGTCATTGAAGTGGTTCACAACATTACGTGTTGTTTGACTGCATGTTCAGGAACATCCTCTAATTGAATATACCAAAGGAACTCATACCAGCAGTTCAATTATAGATCTTAATACGAAACATAGGTTCTAGAGTGGGCTCAAGAGAAAGAGGCAGTAAATCAGACCCCATTAGTACCGAAAAGTAAACTATTTATAATCGGTTAGATCATGCCGATATAAGCATTCACATCTCCACAGGATCGTCACCGATCGTTTCAAACATGTGCTGCACTCTTATTGGTGGAAAAATGGCAGCACAGCGAACAAAAACTAATCGATTAGTTGTTAATCGAGTAATTAAAAAATGGGACATCTCTGTTTTTGGTGTGATTGTTTTGATCAAAATGAGCGCAAAATTTCATCTCTTCCGAAGGGGCAGCAAAACCACAAAATTACCTTGAATGCGGGGGGTTCTCGTTGGATGAAAGGGACCGTGAAAGAAGACACTAAAATAGAAAGTTTTTCTTCCGACAGTTTCATCTTAGTATTCATCTTTGCTTTTATTATCCTATGAACGCAAAACACCAAAATTTCGCACACTCGCCATTTCCTGCGTCATTCTCAATCCGATTTATCCTTGCTTTCAAACCATAACATTCAAGCTGTCAGAAATACCGAGTTGCCGGGATGGGTATTTTACAAACGATCACAGCTTGCTCCCTTAGCTCAGTCGGTAAAGGCGCAGCTACAAAGCAAGACCATGCTGGAGGTGGCTGGGTTCGATTCCCGGTCCGGTCTAGGAATTTTTCGGGTTGGAAAATTTCACGACTTCCCTGGGCATATAGTTTGATTGTACTTGCCACACAATTATAATAATGCAGAAATGGTACAGGCATCGAAAGCTCTCAATTAATAACTGTGGAAGTGCACCTAGAACACTAAGTTGAGAGCACGCAATAAGCTAATATGCGATATGCAATAAGCTTGAAATGCGAAGAAGAAGAAAAGAAGAACAGCTTACTCTATGACCGGCACAATCGGCTTACTTGCGGCACACTGACAAAAAAAGATAACCCAAGATTGGTGTGCGGAGTGACCTACCCCTTGGTGTAAACACTTTTTACCAAAAAGAACTATCACCAACTTTTAATTCGAACAACGGTTTTTTTTTTAAATTTTAGTAACGGTTTTGTGTGTGTACTTGTTTTCTTTCTCGATCACAATAACAAATGAAAGCAAAAAATATATATATATAAAAAACTGCAAGGATTCGTAAAATATTCAAGACTGTGATATTGATTCAATGAGTCAGAGCATAAACTCTCGTTCAATTCTTATAGGAAATGTTGCACTGTTTTCAAATCTGAAATAATATTTGAGGGATACTTGATCTTTTTTCAGTTAAAGTACACACTGTCAACAAGTCAAGTAAAAACATGGATACATCCTGGTGGAATGTGTCAAATAGATTACTTTTTGTATTCTAAGCCAGTTCTTGTCTATGTGAATCTCAGTTGGTGTATGAAAATGAATTACGCTAAATGATTAGGACACTTTCGTTTTCAAGAGCACTTATGTCAATATTCAAAAGTCATGCTGATCTGAAAATAAAACACGATGCTCACAGCTCTGTAACGAATAATTAGATAAATTATAGACTTCGTACATTAAGGCTGTGTTCCATTTGGTGAATTTTCACTTAATAAGAATGACAGCACAGCGGATAAAAAATAATCGATTAGTTGTTAACCGAGTAATTAAAAAATGGGACATCTCTGATTTTGGTGTGATTGTTTTGATAAAAAAAAAAGTGTGCAAAATTTCATCACTACCGAGGGGGCAGCAGAACCACAAAATTACCTTGTATACGGGGGGTATTCATTGAATGAAAGGGACCGTGAAAAAGGACACTAAAATAGAAAGTTTTTCTTCCGACAGTTTCATCTTAGTATTCATCTTTGGTAGAATCACTCAATTTTTCCGGTCATATCCGTCCGAAAAAGAAAGTGCGGGTTGTCTTCGGAAGAACGGAAATTAGATGAATACCCCTATTGTAAATCAATTTGCATGAAAAAGGATACCGTCAACCGTGTCCATAGAGCTTCTGCAAAAAATAAATCACCATGTGACAACAGAACTGTTAACATCGAACAAGTTCACCAACTTTTCCGTGCTCATACAAACGTGCCTAAAAGCACGCAGCCATTTTGGATGCGGTCCTCTAGAGGTGCCCTTTAGAAACTTCCATCCATTCGACTTATCATTTGACAGACACGTTCAAAAGAGAACGGCAACCAAAACAAGCCTTCCTGCCGTGGCGAATGGTTGTGATTTTTTGTCGTCGTCGTTCCTTTTCGCAATCTGTCTGTGCCGTTTGTGCTTGCTCGTAGAGGCGTTGATCTTGGTGTTTTTTGACTGTTCGATTTTCGTACGCGATAAGGTGAGTGGTAATTATCATAAGTTTCTCCGTTGGCCGATGTACCGTGTTAAAAAAGTGTATTTAAATAAATATTAACATTACTGCTTGCGCTTGTTCCTTGTCCAGATCAATTCAAATTCTCCAAAATGGAAGTCGATGGAAATACGGTTTTAGCTCGGTCGCTGAAGGAGCAGGTAGGTGATGGGTGCTAATTGGTTTTTGTGGGTTTGAGATGTTCTTTTTTTATTAAGATGATTGGCTGATTTCAAACAAGCTGCGTAGAATTGCGTTAGATAATGTTTGATAGAACGTTGGCATCATTTCGGTATTATCTAACGTAATTCGATAAGTTATAAGTTTTTTGGCCGTTCAACACTTTAAATAAATTTGAAACGAAGGACTTTGGAATCGTTGATTATCTCCAAGCACCGTTGAATGGCCAATAATCTTGTTTGCTAATTGTGGCTGATATCTACCGGTGCTGATGTGTGATATTTGTGTATGTTTTTATTATTTTCGTTATCAGGGCGTTGAGTATGTGTTCGGCATCGTCGGTATACCGGTGGTGGAGCTATCGATGGCGATGCAAGCCGAGGGCCTCAAGTACATCGGTATGCGAAACGAGCAATCTGCTTGCTATGCTGCTCAGGTGAGATAACAATTCGTTCTCCTGAGCAACTAGGAAATGAATTCTCATCTGAATGAGAATTTTCATCCCTATATTAATTTTATTTTTAGGCAATCGGCTATCTAACCGGCAAACCGGGCGTCTGTTTGGTTGTTCCTGGTCCGGGACTGCTTCACGTGACCGCAGGAATGGCAAACGCCCAGATCAACTGCTGGCCGTTGATTGTCGTTGCCGGAGCTGCCTTCCAAGATCACGAAGGAATCGGTGCTTTTCAAGAGTGTCCTCAGGTCGAACTGAGCCGACCTTATTGCAAGTACGCAGCCAGACCGGCCAGCATTCCGCTTATACCGCAGCATGTGGAGAAAGCCGTTCGCTTAGCATGCTACGGCCGGCCTGGTGTTGCCTATTTGGATATGCCCGGCAATTTACTTCTGGCAAAAGTACCGGAAGGTAGCGTTCCAAAGCAATACGTTCATCCGGAACGTCCGATAGCATTCCCGAATACTAAATCAGTCAAGGAAGCTGCCCATTTGCTGGCCAAAGCCAAGCGACCATTAGTGATTGTCGGCAAAGGAGCTGCCTATGCTCACGCTGAATTGCACCTCAGACAACTGGTTCATCAGACGAACATACCGTTTCTTCCAACTCCGATGGGAAAAGGAGTGGTTCCCGATCTGGATCCCCAATGCGTAGCGCCGGCTAGGACACTGGCTCTGCAAAAGGCGGATGTCATCTTACTGCTTGGAGCTCGTCTTAACTGGATGCTCCACTTTGGCCGCCAGCCTCGCTTCAGCCCCAATGTCAAGGTTATTCAGGTTGACTTGAGCGCTGAAGAATTGCACAACAGTGTCCTAAGTACGGTTGCAGTGCAATCGGATATAGTTCCATTCACGGAACAGCTTATCGACGAGCTGGCCAGCATGCACTTCTACTTCGATAAGAACAACGACTGGTGGATCGACCTGAAGGCCAAGTGTGAGAAGAACAAGAAAGTTGTTCAACAGATGGCGATGGATACGAAGGTTCCGCTGAACTATCACGCCGTCTTCCACCATCTGCAGGAGTTGATCCCGAAGGATGCCATTATCGTTAGCGAAGGAGCCAATACCATGGATATTGGAAGGACATTCCTGGACAACAAATGGCCCCGACATCGTTTGGATGCGGGTACATTCGGAACGATGGGTGTGGGACCGGGTTTTGCCATTGCTGCGGCTCTGGTGTGCCGAGATCGCTTCCCCGGCGAGAAAGTTATCTGCGTGGAAGGTGATTCGGCCTTCGGTTTCTCCGGAATGGAGATCGAGACCATGATGCGCTATCAGCTTCCGATTGTCATTGTGGTCGTCAACAATGGCGGTATCTATTCCGGTTACGATAAGCAGGTCTATGATGACATTCGCTGCGGAGGAGATCTTACTAAAGTGTACGTATCGTCTGAAAGTTCTTTTAATTCAGTGATGGATGACAGATAGTTTGATGCTATTAATCTTCCTATCAAAATAGGGGATTAATAGCACTAAACTAAACATGAAGATGGGTTAACCGAATTAATTGGATTTAACGTTCTGCTTAAAACTCGATTAAAATTAACGAATTTTTATTTTCAGTACTCCCCCGAATGCTCTGAACGTAGAAACGCACTACGAAGCACTGATGAACATGTTCGGATCGAAGGGATACTTTGTTCGCACCATTCCGGAGCTGCAGCAAGCGGTCAAGGAGGCATTAATTTTGACCGACCGGCCTACGATCATCAATGTGGCCATCAGCCCATCGGCGGAGCGCAAACCGCAGGACTTCCAATGGTTGACGGAGTCGAAGTTGTAATTGGTGGAAGCTGGTGCATATGATAAGTTGAACATTTACATTCGTAGCCGACTAGGGAAATCGGGTTAGAGGGTGCTTGTGTGGAAATATATTTAACTTTTGTTGGACGAAATAAATTTACTCACTGGAATAGTTCTAGCGACTTTTCATCACTACCTAATACCTTGTACAGACTATGGCTTATATCATGTAATATAGGCTGTCTTGCAATGAGCACTCAGATAGGATTTCCAGTGAAAAGTAGATATTACATGATATAAGTCATAGTCTGTACGGGGTATAAAGCCCCACGTTGCAGACAGTATATGAGTAAAGTCAAACTCACACTTTTTTGCCTGTAGATTTGAAGACAAACTTCAAATCTCCGCGTACATGGTACGGGTTAGGCAAAAAAGTGTGCGTTTGGCTTTGTACTGTCGCATTAATGGCCATTCGCTCATTTTATACTTCTATTCAATTTTCATACTGCCATACTCTAATTGAACTATCTACCTACTCTCTTCTAAGACCATTCTATAGCATATAAATTATCACACTGTAGCTTCATGTTAGATAGCATTTCCAACCAACTCTGACTACTCTGATGTTTAAAAAAAATACGATACTTGTAATTCAACTAACCGTCGGCTGAGTAGTTACGCTAACCGCCATATGGATGCTTACACGCAGAAAAATACGGCATATTAGAATCAAAAATATTAACGCTTTGATTCAAATGCAAAATTTTTGTCAAATCAATAAATATGTTTATTTGATTCTAATACAGGGCAGAATTGGTTCTAAAATATTTACATTAGAAACAAAGATCTTGGTTTTAGATTAAAAAAATATGCCTTTGAAAATGATATGATCTCCGCCATTTTATTAAATCACGCAAACGGAAAAATGGACTCGTCGGAAGAAGTCGTCATTGAAGAGTTGGAAGTGGAAACGCTAGAGGTGGATGAATTGGAAGTGTTAAAATTATTGAAATCGTTTGAGTTGTGCGATGCTGTAGTTTGTGCTTTCATTGGTAAGAAAATTGATATTATATGTACTATGAAGATTCTAATATTTGTGATTATTCCAGCAAACCGATACACTGTCGATATTCTGAAGTTTATCGAACGGAAGGAAGTGGAGGAACTAATCCAGCAGCCATTTTTAGCGGAAAGAACTAAATGCATCCACGGAATCAATGCATGGAGAAAAAGCCTGGTGAGTAAACCGTAATTTATTAAAAGAATCAAATCAGCAATGTCTTATTCCTTTTAACCAGAATCTTCCGCCGTTGGCTGAATCAGCGCCGTCGCCTTTTCCACCTACGCTTCTCGCCATTCATGAACCAGACGTAACAAGAGCTGACTGTACAGCAACTTATTTGCTGCAAACATCTGCAAGAGGCAAGGCAATTCTAACAAAATATCAAACGAACAAACTTCTGACAAGATCTGACAAGCGCATCATAACACAAATCGTGGTAGACGGTTTTAAAGACCGTTTTTCAAAGCTAACTGCCTCCGAATTGCAAGACAGAGCAGTTGAGTTGTGTTTACTGTTTCCAAGTGAACCACAGGTAAGATTTTACTTATTTTGCTTTTTTTCAGCTATGCACTAATTATAATTAATTATTTAATAAAACATCACTTGGACCGTTCTTAATATCAACACCATAATCGGGTAGGGGAAAGATTCCTCTACACGATGATGTTGTTGGTTTGCGTGGGCGGCCTTCGCTTTGTCAGGCAAGGGCTTAAGAACGGTTTGTTTACAAATGCTGATGGGCCCTTTTCTATTGTTAATCCAGCTTTCAGCTGCAATCTTATTAGCTCTCTGCATATACGAAATCCAAGTTTGATTAATGTATCAACAACAACTCACACTAATCAAAGTCTTTGTTTACTTTCTCTACAGGAGAGTTGGTATCAACCTGCATGGACGACCGATGGCTCTGGGCGGAGAGTTAAACTGAGAAAACAAGCAAAAGGAACCCTACGTGACCGCAACATCAATTACAGAGAAGATAAAGTGGAGAGTATTGTTCAAGGAACGAGTCAAGCCGTTGTTACAGCATTAGAAAATCCTGCATCAACGAGCGACATCACCCAAAACGATTGTAAGTTTCATATATGTTAACTATGTTAGTCAATAACAAAAATTCTCTTCAGTAACGGAATATCAACGGACCAAAAAATGGATTATCCATAATCAGGACGACTGGGATGAAGTAAAGAACAAGTGGAAGCAAACAACAAAGCCAAGATTGCTTGAATTATTGGACAACCAGAAACGAAACACTGCTTCTATTTTGGCTGAGTATCCTGTGTTGAGACACCACCAAGCTTATCAATTAGTCCAAATCGATTTTCAACAACGTTTTCCGGAAAAAGAAAAACTTCTTTTCGATCGATGGGAGTCATTTGTGAGCGAAGTTTTTCCTATTTTGGAAGTTGAAGTAACGGATACGGTCGGAAAAAGCTTACTAAGTTTTCTGAAAGCAGATGACATCTCTAATGGTAAGTTGAAATTTAAGTTAAATACTAATCTACATTGTTCTCATGTATTTTCGTAGATGGACGGGGGCTCATAACCATCTGGCTGCTAAATCACATCTTGCCAAGCCCTATTCTCAGGACACCGGGAAAGAATCGTTGGAAACCGTCCATAATTGAATCCCGAGAGAGCGTCGCAGTTTTGATCAAGGATTTGGCAGAGCTTCAAACTACACTTGCCAAAATATTCAAAACATTACAGACGAGAAGTGTCGATCTAACTCCATTCATTGTGGTTCACGGGGAAGATCCGAAAAATCCTACATCATTTTCAGTTTGGAACAACGTTATCTCATACAAGCTACCGAGCTTTCAAAAAGCGCTTGACGTGTGCTTGAAACTCTATAAGTCGTATGGTATTTCCTTCCCACGACAGTCATCATCAGTTTGGAACTTATTGGCAAACCTGTTGTTCGATTTTGAGATTCCCCGTGAACAAACGAATGTCGTAGCATTGTGTACTTCACTGCGTAACAGTGTTCGACAACAACAACAACAACAACAACAGTAATAAAAATGATTCGATGTGTAGCACGACGATGCAACTGGACATCGCAATCGATTCATCGCTTCCACGACCATATAAATAAATATCATGGTAACCTGGACGTATACGAATGCAACATCGGTGATTGCACTAGGAAATATAGTGTTAAATCTTCATTCTATCGGCACTTGAACAAACACTTTGAGGAAACCAGTAACACGACAAATGAGAGCACAGCACAACAGCATAATATCGAAGGTTCTTTTGCATATGCCGAAACGCCCACACCAAAACACAACACAGTCGAAAAAATTGAAAGTGACATGGAGGATACGCCTCCACCAGATGAAACACAATGCTCGATGTATACAACCAATCTAAATCTGATGGTCAAACGAATGGAAAACGCTTCAATCCATTTTAATCTGAAATATTTAAGTGCAAACACTCTTCCAAGGAAAGTTGTTTTCGATGTACAACAAGACATTCAAAACATGTTTATAAATCCGCTTAGTAACATAGTTAAATTAATGGAGTCTTCAGGTTGTATTACGGCAGAAGGGAAAATAATGTTCGATGAAATATTTGCAAATATGCATAACAGCGATACAGAGTACAAATTCGTTGAACAACTGAAGGCGAATGATTTGTATGCAGAACCGAGAGAATTTGTACTCAGTAACGAATTACGTCCGGGTATTGTACGGAATGCGCAGCAAATGAGTAACGACCCCATTACAGGTAAAATAATAATGTAATATAGTTGACTACATGTTTGATAATTAAATTAACATAATATATTTACATTTTTAGCTATTCTAATGCCTTTGAATTTTCAACTACGGAAGTACATGGAATCAGATGGTGTTATGGATACTATATTGAAGAGCTTAACGCCTTCGAGTGATGGATGTATCAGAACCATGGTTGACGGTAACCTGTGGAAGCAGCGCACAATGTACTCTGACAATAAGTTGATAGTGCCTTTGAACTTGTTTTTCGACGATTTTACAACTGGCGATACCGTTTCACCGCATGCGGCTAAAACTTCTATTTGTGGGATTTACTATTATGTTCCCTGTTTGCCTGCTCACATTCTGACAAAACTGTCAAATATTCATGTAGCTGGATTTATATTGTCAGCGGATAGAAAGGAATTCGATAACAATTTTCTTTTTCGTAATCTAGTAGATATACTAATTGAATTAGAGACAAACGGATTAGAGATTAACTTCAAAGGAGAGAAAATAGTTATCCATTTCATGTTAGGATTCATTACCGGTGATAACTTAGGACTTTCTGGTATCTTAGATCTAGTTGAATCCGTTCGAGCCAATTATTATTGTCGTTTGTGCAAAAGAAACCGAAACCAGAGAGAAAAGGATACTACCGAATACACCGAAACATCCAGAACTGTAAAAAGCTACGATGAAGATTTAAACTTGGACGATGTATCACTTACTGGTGTGAAAAAGAAGAGCATTTTTAATGAGATTCCTTCCTTTCATGTTACCTTCAACGTTTACTTTGATTTGATGCATGATCTTTGGGAAGGCGTGTGCATTTATGGGTTAGGGCATTATTTGAACTATTTTATTAACGTTAAAAACACATTCTCACTTGACGAACTGAATTTTAGAAAAAATACATTTGTGTTCGGAAACCTTAATTCGTCCAATATTCCAAGCGATATTAAAGACATAAATATCTCTAAAAGCAAAATCAAAATGACTGCAAGTGAAATTAAAACGTTAGTTAACTTCCTTCCACTCATCATAGGAATGTTAGTACCAGAAGAGGACGAGGTTTGGAAACATTTTTGTTTGTTGCTTCAAATCTGTCACATTCTCATGCTGCGTGAAATATCAATTGAATACCTGGAGATTTTGAAAAAGTTAGTAGATGTTCATCACTCACAGTATTTGACATTGTTTAATGACACGTTAAAGCCCAAACATCATAATTTATTACATTATGCTACATTTGTTATGCAATCAGGTGCTCCTAGGCATCAATGGGCTATGCGAGGAGAAGCAAAACATCGAGATTCAAAACAGTATAGTAGAGCTACTAACAACAAGATAAATTTGTGTAAATCTCTAGCAATT